CTAGTCTCTTTATCTTTGGCTCCAAGTAATGATGAAAAATGGACTAGGTTACTTAGAAGACATGGCAGTAGTTCCCAAGTCCAAAACTTATTTTAGATAAATGGCCAAGGGAAGGCCAAATACCTAGAAAAGCAAGAGATTCTGTGGTTTGGGAACGACAGAAGGAGAAGCAGAGGAAAGCAAACGGTGATTCAGATCCTCATTGTTCCTCAGTCACTTCAACATTCAATGTCCCGACACAGACAAGAATGGTAGGGTTGGTACTGCCATGTTAAATTTGATATAAACTTTTTTTAAAAAAAAAAAGCCCACAAGCAACATAAGGTAGATTTAGTTTCATATTCAATCTTCTTTTCCTGTCCCTCTTTGTTTATGGAAGTGATCGTTTTTTGGTGACTATTTTTAAGTTCATAATAAAATTTTTTAAAATTCAATATTCTTAACCTGTAATTCATATACTGATTTCCCCCCTTCCCCGATGAAAATCAACCTTTTAATATTTGCTTCTGTTTTAAGTGGTGTTTTGTTTTTAGCATAGATGATACTTATGTCTAGTCCTTCCTCATGATCTTTGCAATGACGTTTCTATAGCTGCAATGCCTACCTTACAGCCCAAGTTCAATACAATAGGACCTCAGGATAACATTGGCACAATGATAACTCTAATGATAGGCTTTTTATTTTACAGTTGGAGGCACCCAGGTGGAAGAGGAAGGGGTGCACGATTTCACCAGGGAGTATAGTGGAAACCGTGGTTACAGATGAGATCTGCAAAACTGGCTGAAGTTTAGGCCACTGCCAAGTGCAGTCTTACTACAAAGTACACTGGGTCTGCTCCATTTCACCTTTACAGTTTGCGGATGTTTTTTAAATGAAAAAAAAAATAGAGGCAATCTTCAATATTTCCATTTGGTCATGACTTCCAAATGAAAGGGACATCATTTTCCCACTCTACATGTTACTCAAGGGTACATTTCCAAATGTTGATAAGAACAGGTCTAATATACTTAATAATAAAAGTTATTAGATCTGAGATTATACTAGATCTCACTCCATTTTGACCCATCATTTACAAGCATGTTTCTTTCAACTGGGTCCACTTGAATGAATATTGAAGTCTATTTTGGGGAAGGCTTTTGCTTTCTTCTGCAGATCATAAGCATATAAAGGAGATTAATCAGTACCATTTGAGGAAGAACACAGTCAATAAAGATTTCTTCCTGGCAGACAATGAGAATCACCTGATTGAAACCTTGTCTCTCTTTTTGTTAATGTCCATGTCACCTCAAGGATTATTATCATTCTTTATAGGTTGATGTTGGATACGATGTAGGGAAATTCCCGATTGTTCAGAATGTTGCCTTGAGATTAATGGCTAATAGCAAATGGCAGGAGTCCATTCTATCTCTTCAGTTGACATGCTAGCTTTTCACAAAGTTTGAAATTGATATTAATATTTTAACTTCTCATTCACAAGATCTTCCTGGGTCTCAGCCATGCTTAATTAGCTGACATTTGGCTCCCCGTGTACTGTTAAACAACTTGGATGCAGGTTTATTAACATTCCCAAAAGGAGAAGGAAGTTACCAGAATCTTTATCATCTCGAAAATAGGAGGCTGTGTGCTCCTTCGGAAGAATCACCTTTGAGATCAGCCAATTTTCCAACTACAGCAATACTACTTTATGATGCTAGTGTTGGGGAACAAGACCGCCATCTGCCTAAACATGCTAACTGTTAGAACCTGCTGCTACTCTGTGCACTTGCTATTTTTCATACTGTTATTTCACTATTTACCCTATGGCTGGCTAGAATCTGTATACCATAGCAATAAACTACATAATGGAGTTCAATGGCATAATCTGAAGGAATCTGGTGAAATTCCAATTTTTCATTTGTTTGGGTTTTTTTCATAAGATTCAGTGAAATATGCTTACATTTTTGCTATAGGTTTCTTAAAATTTTTTTTTCTTGTCTTTTATTTGCTTAAAAGTCCGGAGATACTCTTCAAGACCATCAGCATATGACTACTAAGGACTTTTTGTTCTAAGGCAAATGAACCTATTTCCAAATGCTTTGTCTTTAAGCAGACATGATGCTCAAGTAATTAAAGTGTTCTCTGTCATATTTCTCTTTATTCTACCATCCCTGAAAATACTAGAAGGGTGGCAAACCTTCATTTGCCTTGGGCTACCCCTGTGAATTTTCCTTACTGAAAGCGCCTACCTCCTGCCTTTTTAGATATATAATTATATATTACAGATATAATATTCTATCTATCTATCTATCTATCTATCTATCTATCTATCTATCTATCCTAGAAATGGAAAACAGACCAACAAGATGTTAAATATATTTAGCCCTATCCTTCACGTAATTAAAAACTTGAAGAATATGTAAAAAAAACACAATGAATTCTTCCTTTTTAAAGAAGTATAATTTTGTTGGAGGGGCATGGAGAAGGAGGAGATTACTAAAGCTTCAGGAAAGGATAACACCATTTATTCTATCTTTTCTAGGTCCAACTAAGAATATGGAATTTTTTTTATCATCTTAGTACTCCAATTTCATTTTAGCAAATGGTCTTCCAGCTATTATTTAGTTCCTCATTCTGTAGCAAATAATCTAAGGGTGATTGGTTTCACAATTACCTAGTGAATGACAATTAACAACTTAATTATGTACAGAAAAAAAATCAGAAAAAAAATATGGTACAGCTCTACCCAATAAAAACACTGTACAGTTGAAGACACCAAGTCTGGCTTAGGTCCCTTTTTACAACAAACTCCACACAGCCCATAATGCCGTAACTATTAATGTATTATTTTCAGGATCAATAATAACAAACTGGAACTTTGAAAATTAATATGCAACTTCTAAAACTATATTTGAATTAAGCTATTGCATATATGATTATATGTTTATATGTATGTGTACATATGTGTATATGCCTATGTATATATAATATATGTGCATATATATATACACATATGACACAATATCAACCTAAGCAGAGAAATAGGAATTAAAAAATATGACCAGTTATTGACCTTTTTTGGTGGGGAGGGGAGTTGTCTTAGTAAATAAAGTATTGATCTTTCCCGTTTGGGATTTTGGCTCAATTCCACTCTCTACTCCTAAGTGAAATGAATTCAGTGTTCTTGGCTCATTCTTAGCAAACAGTAATCCACATAACAAAAAAATAATCAGTTTATCTCAGCCAATTTGGTCTTTATTTTATGAGAAGAGGTTCACATGAAGCTTCCATGGAGACCAAAATTAATCATATCATAAAAAGTATAATTTCAAACTATGTGTCCCCAAACAGTTCTGTCTCCTATCATTTAATAAGAACTGCATTATTCTCATATTTTCCTGGAATTTTTAAATAAAAAGTTTTTTTATTTTAAGAAAATTGGATTATTTTCTCATTTGTTTTGTTCAGCTTTCCTCCCACCTTGAGAACACAGTTTTCGATGAGTATGTATCCATTAAGAAATGGAAAAGTAGTTACAAGGGCAGTTAAGATAGTCTTTTACAACTCTCTATTATGATTTATTGGCAAAAGTCTAGAGATGTCATAGTGGCCAAGAAGAGTGAAACTTGGATTCATAAGAAACACATTGGGTTTTGTATGGCACAACTTTTTTTTAATGAACAATTTAAGCATTTTTTGATAGGTTAAACAAAAACTTAAAAAAAAACCCTTGCAAATTACCCAAAATGATCTTTGAACTTTTCATAGAAAGGCAATAAGCAATATCAATTATTTGAGATACAAAGATGCCAAGAGCCTTGCAAGATATTGAACCACTTTCACTGAGAAATTCAAGAATAATGTGCAAGTAGAAAAATTTTTTTTAACAAGGCAGTGTATAGTAGCTGTGTTAGTAAAATATATCTATCGTCTCCATTCAAAACAGAAGCAGTAGCATCAATATAAGGAAGACATTAGTTAGTCTAGGGGAAACCAGCTCCATTTGGTGAACACATGGACAAAATTTAGAATTTTCCAGCTTGAAAAAATTCTGGTTGAAGAATTGTTAGAGTTTATCAATCAGGGTGGGAAAAATATTCTGGAAACTTGTTTGTGATTTGGAACAGGTTGATATTTTTAATAGAAATTTCAGAGTGGACTAGAAACCATTTGTTAAAAATGTTATTTTAATATAAAGCTAGTAAGTACTCTTTGATTTGTACCATCTTTCCAGATAATTACCAGGTAATTCATTGATAAACTGTTTTACAAGTTTGCATTCCCATCCAGAGCATTCACTAAAAAAATTCAAGTCAGGACAATGCTGATGATGATGCTTCAGATGCTAATTAAATTTTAAATGGACATGTTTCCATGCAGTTTTAAGATAGAGGGCTTTATGATACAAAAGACAAGTTGCAGTTTAGTGTCCTTACTGAAAAAGGTGATAATTATTAATCCTGTTTTTATTTTATATCTACTGTAGTCTAGGTATAGGAGTTAAGACAAATTATGGTATACACACTTATTATGATTTGTGAAGAAAGAAGAAATATGCCAATACTTTAAAATAAGACTTGCATCTCTCTATTTTGGAAACTAAAACCATATTAAGACTGACAAGCCTGTTTGTGGGCACAGTGTCTATACACAAAAAAATAACGAAAACAAATGACAACTCTTTATACATTTTCCTAAACTTGAAAAGTTTTCTTGCCTGCAGCCCAATTACATGACCGAAGAAATGTGTTTTTTCTAAATAAGTTTGTTACATGAGAAGTTTCTTTTTATACAGAAAAATAGTTTTACCCTCTGCCCTATTGGGCATAGACTATAGTCATTCTCAGTGACATCAATGAGCATTTTACAATGAGGGAAGAAGATGTACAGATGTTGAATAAAGTAGAATTCCATTGGATAGAAATTATATAGAAATAGATAACAGTCCAATAATTAGATTTTTATTATTCATTCAAGAAGCACTTATTAAGCATTTACTATGTGCAAGGAGTAATAAATATTTGTTGCATTTAATTGAAGGCACCGTGCTAATTATGGTTGAAAGTTATATCTTCCACTCTAACAAAGCCTTGTTTATCCTTTCCAATAATAATAAAATTAATAATAATAACTACTGGACAATTAGTTTCACAAATAATTTTCACTGTATGCTAGTAATAACAATTTTACCTAAGCAAGATATTCATCAGTAAAACAAAGCATCTCTATTGATAAGATCTTTTAAGAGTATATTCTGTAATTAGCAAGAAATAAACTTTTTAGGTCATCTGAATTTAGATTTTGATATTTTAAAACTGACAATAAAGACCAGGCCCCATTATGATTCTAAACAAAAATGATGAACTTCAGATTTGTTCTATCCTTTTTTCTTTTTTTCTATCCTTTTTTTTTTAAAAGTTTACAAGCTTAAGGTAATTATGTTATTGAAAAATATCCCTCATGAAAATCAGGGTAGACAATATTAGCCCTGAGCTAGAAAGGCTAAGAAACTACTTGCCAGTAATTATTGCTTGACTTCACATTTCCAATCAGCTTTTTGAGTGAAATTCTTCTTTAACCAAAAGGCATCTATTCAGAGTGCATAATTTGCTAACATTTACTAAATTCTTATTTGTGTTTATAGGAAATCTTCCTCCCACAATTCTCCAAGAAAACTGCATTTATCTACCAAGTCTCACATTATCAAAAGCAACAGAATTGACATGAATGAACTCTGTAACTTTACCTTCAGAAACTATTCAGAAGAATGAGTTCATCACTGTGTTTTTCATTTAAAATTTTTTTGCTCAATTTTAACCATCAAAGAATTTAGCACACACTTAAGGCAGAGGCATGAGTACTGATTGTGGTGATGAAAGGCATGAATCGACAGAGAACATAAGCATTGACCTTTGGGGGAGGGGAGAGATTGTCACCTTACTTCTCTTTATAACTAGTAGCTCGGTCATCTTAAAGCTCAGTGTGACTGGTAGAAGAAGCAACACAAATATCTGGAAAAAGAAAAGTTAAATTATATTACTGTCATGTTCAGTTAGCTAGACATAATTTTGGAATCACGGTTAAGCAAAATCTTCCCTGACATAAGTATACCATTTGCCACACTAAAAGGTACCATGTTTATCATTTCATCAAAGAAGCAGTGATCAAGAAGGGATGGATATCTAGGTACCACATCCATTCTTCATTTCAACTCTGTTGGTGCCAATGACATTTAGACTGTTCCCAACCAACAATTCCGGCCCTGTATTTTAGGTTTAAATAGTTTAAACCTGGCCTTTGCATGCTGACGTGAGTTCTTTCCTATGCTAGATATTACAGGCAAAACCAATTAGAGGTTGAAGGGAGTGAATACCAAAGTGTATTTTTATTTAAATATTTTAATATACATCTTGGAATATGCATTCCGTGTCCTGTCTTTTCAATTGGTTAACGAAAAAAAATCTACCTGGTCATTTGGTCTTTTTTGGGGGAAAGTGATGGTGTTTTTAATTCTTTTATACTTGAGGTTTTAAAGCTATAAGATGAATTATTAGAAGTATATGTTTTAAAAGTGTTTTATATATATGTGTGTATATATGTGTATATATATATATGCATATACATACATATATATATATATATATATATTTACAATGCATACTGACACTTCAGTGGACACAAGCTTTTGGATTTATGATAAAATAGGACTTGTTCCCTACCTCAGCCTGATTTAAATTATGACTTTTTATCCTATTTAGATCAATCAGAAATGATTAGGAGAATCTTTCACCTTTACTATGTTTTAGGGTCACCTACCCTGCAAATTATTGACTTCTGACCAGCAAAATATCTATTCAAAGAGCACAGGGTTTTGTGCCCACTCAATAATTTTATGAAGCAATCTCAATAAGTTCATTCTTATGCTTTAACTAGGAAAAATTTGTCTAATGAGAAACAACCCCCTGATTTTCTATCTCATGCCCAAGATCAAATTGTATTGAATATCTTTTCCTGTTGATTGGAAAGATAGCAACAACAAATGTAGATCTGAGCACAGGTCCTTAACAACATTTCAAAACAATGGCAAAATTATTATAGACACCTCCTAGAATTGCTACTCCTGACCCAAAGTTGACATAAGGTTCATTTCCTCTTTTCTCCTTATTAATAGGAGATATAATTACAATTGCTTCATATGAGCCTTATCTTTGCGGACAGATGTTTATGTTTATGAAAAGTCAGGTGAAATGAGCCATTTTTCCAACACTCTTCTATATGAAGGTCAAAATTCAAAATCTACACATATGCAAAGTCACTACTTTATCAATTTTAATGTAAATTTTTTAAAAATAGCATTCTTTTTGTTTCTATAATTAATCTTTAAAAGACTAACAGGCGTACATTTTAATAGCCCCTAGGACAGTGCTCTAAACACATAGTAGGTGTTCAAAGTAGATATTTGATGATTGATTCAGTTTCATACACATAAAAGCATGCCTTTGTGCATGTGGAAACACATGCTTATATAATGATCTATTTGGAAAATAGCCATATTTTGGAAACTGTATCATTAAGAATATACAATAATGACAAAAGAAGTTGATGGGATGCGTTTATAAAAAATAGAGTATGCTATAATAGTATTATCTATCAGATCAATTAAGTCATATGGATCTTTAAGTAATAACTTGAATGCAGTTAGATATTTTTGAAGGAAGACACCTTTCATATGTTCTAGGACCATTTCTGAAATCAGCCAGAAATGTTGAAGACAGTCTATTAGCTATTATTTTCTGCTATGCCCATCATTGGTGTATTTTGTTTTTATTATGCTTTTTAGGTATTCACCTTTCTTCCCCCCCAAAATAATTTCTGGATTTTAAAAAATATCATGCCATAGATGATTAACCTTCAATCACTTTAAAAGGTGGGGAGGGGCTTTTATTTTAGCATTATGATCTCTACTTAAGTGTAATTTATAATTTATTCTGCCTTTTTTTTGTCAAGAAGACTCATATTCATACAGAAACATACCCAGAAAAACTCAGAAACATATTGGCAGGCATAGCACTAGTATGCCATCCTGCATTTTGATTGGTTAACTTCCAGTGTCTTTACTAGTACTCATACTTCTAGATAGTCATAGTTATGTTTGGCATGGCAAATGCTGATCAGAGTAAACTTTACTTTTTATCAAATGCTATTAAGGGTAGTCTATCTGAATACCTTTTACTTGAATCTTCTAAAATAGTAATGATTTCAGAAGTTTACTGATCAAAATGTTACTTCTTAGTTGCATTTAATTCTTTCAGTTGAATCTATGACTATATGTATATATTTACATATATATGTACATATATGACGTGAAAGGGAAAAAGATGAAACATTTTGAAACCCAACAAAAGTAACTTCAGAGAGGTATTTTCCCCTCTATTCCTTCTCATTAGATGGTCGCTCTAAACATTTCATGAAACTTTCCCAATACCTTCTATATCATGAGATAAGGTGTAGATATAGTAGAATATTTATACTATGAAGTTATGTAAAATACAAATAGTGTTATAAGCAGAAGAACACAGGCAAACAAGTGTGCCACGGATCATTCATGAATATTTTGTTCATTCCCGGATAAGTAGGTCTTTGAATTCTTTGGAAAACTTTTCTTTAAAAAAAAAAAAAGCCACCCATCATTAGCAAAGATTGTGGCACAAAGTTACTGATGCTCATTTCTGCTGTCACTACATAATTTATCTCAAAGTAGTTACAAAAATTCCAAATTGCCAAATAGTTCTGACTTCATCACTCCCCTCCCCTCAACCCCCACTCCCAACTGGATTCTGAAAGAAAACAACCAAGCTGTTTGCATGGGAGGAAAATCCTGGAACATTCACCAAGTTGAGACGTCTAGTCTATTTTATTGTAATTTTAGATCATAAGGTTTTATGCTTTAGTAGTCAAATATTTGTGACCAATATTGGAGGAAAGTTATATAAACGAACCATCTGTTTACAACTTTTTGGCTCTTTTTGCTTCAGGTTCATCAGATTTTAGCATGAACAATCTGGTAAATGGTATTTTGAACTTCCAGTGGGGCATACTACTATTGCAGCCACTGATTTAAAATAATTAATGGCTTCATGCATATTCTATCATTGTAATTAATAAAAAAAAACTTCCCCCAAAAAGGTCTTAGACTTAGACTATATTCTTAGACTATATTCTTATGAAAGCATAGAAAGAATAAAAAGTATGTACTGTCGTTTTACATACATATATACATATTATAAAATCCATAGAACAGATATGGGTATCAACTTTCTATATAGCAAATTAGATATTTGGGATTTTTTTTCTGCTCTCAGATTAATATATGTTTCAAGAACTGTTTTAGGTATGTGTTTCAGGAACTTTTTTTTTGTTCAAGCAAAAATGTTTTGAAGCAGATTTCCTTAAAATAAAAAAAAAGACACCCACACAAAAGGCTGTCACTACCGAACAAACAACAACAAAAAAACTTTCAAAGTTCTTAATAGTTTCAGGTTACATCTCATTACTGATGCAGCAACTGGCTAGCACTAACGTCATAAATCTTCGACAACCAGGAGACAAGCACAGAGAGATTCTCTTTTCCTGAATGGAAACCAGTTTCTAAAAAGAAAGGGAAAAAAAATCATGCCTGAGATTTTGGGCTAACACTAAAAGAGAAGGTGCTAGGTGATATTTTGAGTATTAAGATCCTGGTGAAAACAACTGTGTGGCTAAAAAAAAAAGTGAAATAAGCAACCATGTTGAGATACCTTAACAGCCTTCCTGGGTTTGGGTTTTGTTTTGTTTTGTTTGCTTTTTTAAATTCTCATGGTGGCATTCCTGATTTAATTACAGAAGAGTTCTCAAAATCAAAAAGTTGAACCAAAGCAGTAGACTAAGTTTGAAGAAAACAACAACATGAAATGGAGAGAGAGAGAGAGAGAGAGAGAGAGAGAGAGAGAGAGAGAGAGAGAGAGAGAGAGAGAGAGAGAGAGAGAGAGAGACCATGTTACATCAGACACAGTACCTGATTTTTCACTGCACAACTTGTCAGCTAGATGCTCTGCCTCCTGGGCGACAAGTGAGAATATTTCATCTTCATATTTTTCTATTATAGTTTCACACTGTAAAAATATAATAAAAACACATGTGTACGCACATATTATAACACACACACACACACACACACACACACACACACTCCTTGTTAGAAAAGACCTAGTAAAATTTTCATTAGACAAGGCTATAAACCCATATTATCAGGGTACTCTTCTCTTTTTGATACTACCCTTTTCTGTCTAGTAGATCAATTGGGTTAGCACCCTTCCACGAATTCTAATTACCTCATTCTTATGATGATATAACTACATGGTTTGGGGAGAGTGAAAGGAATTTATTTCTTATTATTTAATTTTGTTTCTCATCTTTAAATTGATAACTCATTAAGGGAGCTGAAACTAGCCATTTATAATTATAATTTTTCTTTATAAAACCCACCATGCTTTTAAAAAGTAGCTTTTTGGTCAAAATGCTTCTTCAAATTTCACATAATAATCCATTTTGTGGTTTTCTATAATGTGAAGACAATTACAATCCCTTACTAATTCAAACAGACACATCTTCAATTTCACTGTGAATACCATGCGTGACAGCTACTTATGGAACTTTCTTTTCACACTCTTCTTAAAAAAACTAACTGTAATTTCGCCACTGGGGAAGCGGGGAGAACCCTGACATTTCGTAACAGGGAGAGATGGGGCTCACACTTGCCTCATGCATTTGGCTAACCTGCAGTCTAACTGCCTCATATCTCTGAAGTCCAGAAGCACACTTTTTTTTCTTGGTCTCCACTTCCAGGAACTGGGAATGTGCTTCACTAAAGCTTGTTATAATCTTACTCAAAATTTCCTTTTTACTGTTTGAAAAACCAAGAAATAATGGTATTTTGGGGAAATGATTTAAAAATTAATTACAAATAAGTTTATTTTATAGGGTGAAACATAAAACCATTCATTTCTATTCATACTCCCAGAGTACTTTTAGCACTGAAATATTACCTTTACTTTTTAATTAAAATTAAGTCAGGGGTACCCACAGGCCTTCATTTCAAGGTTGCAGCAAATCTGAGAGTTTTGCCAATGAAAGAACCAAATAAACATTTCAGTCTGACTGCTCTATCACTTTGTTTAGACAATGTTAAGGCCCGAGAAACATATTGGTATATATTTTGCAAGGCACATTTTTGCAAACCAGAAAGGGTGGCATGCTCGTAAAAGAAACATTATTGGAAGAAGAAATTGGCATAAAGCCAACTATAGTACTTAGACCTTTGTTTAACTGAATTCTATGCCAGAATATTTGAATTAATTCAGTAGAAATTTCTCTTTATTCTGAAAGACCTTGGGTAAAATTAATGATACCCCATACTCCTCCACCCATAATTTGGCTATAAATATTTGAAAGTGACATTAGTATTAATTTCAATTTTAACTGAGGAAGAAAAGGCCCTGATTTATGTGAAAATCTGTAAGGAGACTGTCTTGGCAACAAGCAGTACCTGGAATCATTCTTCCAAATGAATCAAACAACTTTGAGTACTTTCAGTTTTGGGGAAAGTAAAGTCCAAACTACTTAATTTGTGAATAATACTTTTAGTTAGCATACCGCCTGAAATTCCCCTTGGGTTTTTCATAAGGCATGCTTCAAATTGAATTACTATACTACTTTGAAAAGGCAGTAGAATGACAAATTAAGTCGAGTGGTTGAGGACTTTTTAGGGTTACAAGCTCAATCTCTGGCATTTCTGCTCAGTGCTATTAGAAACTCACTACCCTACCATGCTGCAAAGTGTCTTGAGATTCATCAGTAAAAAGCATGAGCCAGCATTATTTCCATGGAAAGCCCAATCTGGACTCTTAAGAGGATCGCTTACCGCAAATTTCAAAGGTCTGTAAGCATCAGAATAAAAATAGAATCGTTTAAATTCTTTGTATATTTTGTCCCCTTTCCTTGGAGCAAATCTCTTGAACTTCCTTTCACCGTTTTCAGAATGGTCTTCAAGTTTGTAGTCATTCATTCTCTCACATACGGTCTCCAAAACTTCTGTTAAGAATGCCTCTGACTGGGCTAAGGGAATCTATCATTTAAAAATAAAAAGAGGGGAAGGATTTCTTAATTTTAATATTACTCAAGAGACCTTTGGAAGTCAGATCGCATGAGGAAACTGACATACATAAACTCCCCACACAACCAGGCATTAATCTCTAACTCTACTTAGCTACTCACAAAAATTACATACATAATTTACAAGGTTAGCTCCTGCTTACGTAGTATTTTGCTTTCTTAAAAAAAGGGAAAAAAAACCTGCAGACATTTGAAAGCTCACAGAAATCTCTACATTCAATGAAAAAAACCCAGTATATATATTTATATGTATATTCGTACCTATTTATGTATATTATATGTACATAGAATACAACGAGCCCATTACAAAATTAAGCCCACAAATTCTGATATTTTGTTTCTCTATGATGACAAGAATTTTCTTGTTAACAAATTCTTTGCTGTTTTAGCTTAAGCAGAGTTCCAAGAGGAGCTCTAAGACGACCCATAGTCTGAGCTGTCCCTCGGTTCTGCCTTGCAGCTAGCTAGCTGTTCATCAGTTCTGATGCAGCTGTTTAATCCTTCCCAAGAGGTTTTGCAAGAGGGGTTGGGGTTGGGGTTGGGGTTGGGGAGGGAGGGAGAGGAAGAAAAGAAAAATAATGGCTTACGCAATTTAACTTCTCCAAGGTTCTACTATTTCAGCTTTATTTTAGAACAGCTGGTCCATCTCTTTGTCCGTTCCTTTCCCTTCAGAATTCAGCAAGAATTCAGTAGAAACATATAGACACTACCTACATACTTAGTGAGGGTCTCAACAGCTAGTGCTCTAAGGGTCAAAGAGCACCCCTCGCCCTTGGTAACCAGGACAAAAAAACTTCTCTCCAGTCTAGACAGGTCAAGGTGCACGATGCTCTGGTCTCTGTTGCTCCTTCCGGAAGGGGGCGTGAACTGAAGCCAAGTGCACAGTAAACAACAGTGCCGCATCCTTCGGCCTTTAGAAGACTTTTTTTTTTCCTCTCTCCACCCTCTGCTGATCAAAGTAGGAAGTTTTCATGACAACCATAGTGAAAGGGACTGAATCACAAATGAACTCGATTTCTGCAATGTTGATATATCCAGTCTCCATTGTCTCTTTTCAGACACAGTATGAACCCTTCCGGTCTCAATGATTACATTACAGAAGCACTTTCACATGTGCTCCCCATTTACACAAAGGTTTCCTTGCTTCACCACCATCTGGCCACAAATCAGATAAATAAAAGCTCAAGAATTAAAAGTGAAGCCAAGTTTTTGTTTGTGGTGTGTGTGTGTGTGTGTGTGTGTGTGTGTGTGTTTTAAAAACTAGATTCTATTATGATTCACACTCCAACCCCTATCCAACCCCATCCTCAATATGGAATCTACACTTTAAAAAAAAAATGCAACTCGGGAAAAGAATGCAAAAAGACAAACATTGCTGATGAACTATCCTCTGTCTCCCCTACATTCTTCAAGCACATATGCAGGACAACTTGCAGCTCCTTCAAGTTTTGGAGCATGAGGTTTAGTTTTTTGGTTTAGAAGCACATTGTGAGTTTATGCATTAAATTTTGTAGATACGTAGTTTTAAAAATAAGAATCTGCCAGGAAACTTGGCTTATTCTCTGGAATATTAAACATTCTAAAAACTCACGTGAATTGTTTGGGGTGAAGAAAATAAGTACCAGCATGTAATACAAGTAGTTAAAGTGAGTGGTTTTAAAATATATATTCGAATCACAAGGGATGCTTTAGTTTTATCTTTGGGGAAAAAATGTACACACAACAGGTAAAATGTTATATATGTTAATTTCACTTTGGCATCGATAAATGGTATATTAAGGGCCTATTATGCACAAGACATATTAAGATAAAAATTATGCATAAATTTATAAATAAAATAGATTTATAGGCAAAGTAGAAACATAGTTTAAATAATCATATTACAATAGCTAAGGATTAAAACATGGTATGTTTATCATTAGGAAGAAGCTATAAATGCAGAGCTGAATAGTTGAATTAACTGACAAAGGGAGCCCATCAACAGAAGGATTTTCCTGGTGGATATATTCTAAGTATACTTAAGCATTCACTGTCTGGTTGCCAGCAAGACAGTATTTTATTTTTAAGTTCTGAAGGCATATCCTACCCCTTTTTAAATCCAAATGCTTTTCAAAAAATCTCCACCTTCTCTCTCTCTCTCTCTCTCTCTCTCTCTCTCTCTCTCTCTCTCTCTCTCTCTCTCTCTCTCTCTCTCTCTCCCCCTCTCTTTTTCTTCTCCTCTGTCTTCCTCTCCCCCTTTTCTCCCCCTCGCCTCCTCACACCCAATCAGAGAAGCTACTGCAGTAACTTTGGGAAAATATATAGGATGACATCACATGGCAGACAAGTATAAGACTTTTGAAAGAGATCTCCTAGAAACTTAGACATCAAATCAGAGTAGAACATTGCTTACCACTATAAACATTTTTTTGCTGAATAGAAGCAGTATTTCCACCCTCCCCCCAAAAAACTAACTAACTTAAATATCTACTTGGTTATTAAACTGATGAACCTGGAAGGTATTAAAAATTTGTGGAAAAGCACACATACACATTCGAACAGTATGCATGGAAGTCAGTCTAATTTGTTTTTAAAAGAGTTCTGTTTATCTGCTGTATGTGCACAATTATTTATCAAAGGACACCTCCCCTCACCCCCCATGTAACTTATCTGTTTTCCTTAGTTTTCAAACATGATACCTGGATCTTTAAATAAAATAGGATATTACATGGTCTTTTAAAAAAAACACATTATCTTTAGCAAGTTCCATTATAATATATTAACTGTAGCTTAATGAGAGAATTCTTAAAGCAGCAAACTGTCCGTGTATTCAGCTGGTGCAACAGAACATCATAGAAATGATTCACAAAGGCCTTCCTGCCCAGTTTTTCCTTAAGAGAAGTTTCATAATTATTCACTGCTCAATGAAACTAAGAAAGGAAAAAAAACAGATAACTTCCTTTGGTTTGATCAATTGCATAAATAATTTCATTTTATATTGTCAATAGCATCGAGTTTGGAAATATGGATAATGATGCCTATAGTCCATGTCTTTCAGCTCTGAGGAGATATATACTTAGGGGAACTTGTATGATGGAGTTCAAAGAATTATATTTTCCTGAACTGTCCTGAGTAAATTTAAACAATATTCACTGAATAATTGAGCTTTTTTTTTGTCTTGAAAAGTGTTTTGATACTAAGAGAGTAATAAGTATTGGACAAGCGGAATAAGACTAAGTCTTTCTTTCTATACTGTGAAGGTTTTGAATAGTACTTGTCAATAAAGCAACTCCTATTGTAATCTTACCGGAGACATGGGCCTCCACCCTTAAAAGACCGTCTCAGAGATACTAACCTCATTAAAATATGAATGAAGAAGGCAGCCATCATTGTAATGGGAGAAAGCCATTTTACCCAGCACCACATTTTCTTATCTGCTGTTGCTTTTACGTAGGCACCTATGTATTACATGATCAAAATCCAAAATTGAGCTCTGGTCTAACATTCATTGCAATTATAGTATACCCAAGATGAACATTAATCTTAGGTATTCTAACTTTTCAAGTGAAATCTCCAACTCTTGCTTAGTGTTCATGTATGTAATATATAATTTGTGGTTTAAAAAATATAATTTTATATCTATTTATAGTCATTCTACTGAGCCTGTCGAGGTCAAGTGATAATCAAAATGAGAAGCATCCCTTGATCCCAATTTTAAAATCGAGAGAAGTCTTGTCAACTTTCATCCATGCTTTTAGCCTGCAGAAAACTACAGACAGTGAATTTATTACAGACCACTATGACAACACTTTAATAACAGGCAATTACAGGATGCTTCCCATGTTTGTTCATTACTATGTCTCTGTTAATCTTGTAGTAAATTTCTTGGTTGATAGCTATCACAAGCATCACCAGGAATACAATTATATTCCAGGGCACAATAGTAGGTGGGAACTGTCATTGTGGGAGAGCTGACTATTCCAGGCCCAATCTGCTAAGCTGAAATAGATTTCAACTCATTTTTAGAGCTCCACATTTTCATCTTTGGGATAATGGGCTGCTGTTGGCACTATTTGGCTACTTAGAACTGATCTGATACTATTGACAAGAGTTAGTCAATGTAGAAATTTTAATTGCGTTGAAGAAAATGTTGCATGCAGTTTAATCACTGGCTTTTCATCCTTAAAAACACTGAAATCATTTCTGATATTAGTTAAAAGTCAATATTTAGAAGGGAAAATTCAAAGCCCTCCTTTGCTCTAGGCTACAGCAGAGGAAACATGAATTCTGAAATTCTCGAAAGGCTGATGAGATATATAATTAGCTATTATGTTAATTGAGTCTGCTATGAGTTTGTTGTATGAGATTTCTTCATATAATATGCAAATAGCATCTAAGGTTTAGTTTTATTAGGCAATATAATTAGAAATCTTCTAAAGGAGTGAATTTCAATGAGGAATAATAAAGATTGGTAAAATTTCAGTTTACTGGGGAACAGAGAAATTGCAGTCCATCTGGACTTAATCAATAAAAGAGGTTTTAGGCAGCATATGTTTAGAGAGCAAAGCCAAACACGGTACCAAATATAGCAGAATTGCTCCATCTATCTTTTCATCATGGATTCTCTGTTAAAAGGAAAATGAGTTTTTTTCCCAAATGAAATTTTGGGGCAGGATTTCTGATTTTGGTGAAGTGACTCAACACAAGTATCAGGATAAGTTTATAAATATCACCCACCCCTAACCCAACAGGACTTGGGCAACTGTACAATGGCTCATTTCCAGAAATTCATTTCAAATCAAGTGCTTCCTAAGCATTTCCCACTTCCTTGCTGAGTGACAATGGGATACCAATACATTAGTTCAGTACATGCCTGGGCTGTTCAGATGACCAAAACAAGACCAACATAACTTTTGAAAATTTGGCCACCCATGCCCTGCAAATTTAATAACTAAGTCTCAGTCACATTTTTCATCCTTTAGCTCTTACTTTTCTTAAGAGTGACAAACCATATATTGAGCAAAATAATCTAACAGATTATTATAAATAATTTAGAGATTATTAGAAAATGGGGAGCACCTAACAACTACCAGCTTCCAGAAAAATTTTTTAAAAGAACATTACCTGTCCCTTGTTGTAAGATACAAGATTAGGTTTTGTACTTTTAAAAATCTTCAACTACTCTTGTTTAAAAAAGAAACAAACAGCAAAACCTGTCATTGTACAACAGAGAATTCAAGTAAAAGCAAATAATTCAGTTGTATCCCCAGGAAAAACACTGTTCATTCCCAACCTAAGAACTACTATTGTCTTGGACTTTGGGTCCACTTACATGAAACTTTTTTTTTTTGGCTAGGCAGTGGGGTTAAGCGACTTCCTCAGGGTCACACAGCTAGTAAATATCAAGTGTCTGACACTAGATTTGCACTCAGGTCCTCCTGACCCCAGGGCCGGTGATCTATTCACTGCGCCACCTAGCTGCCCCTGCATGAAACCTTCCTGAGCTTTTGCCGGTAGCTGACATGCACCAGAGCACTAGATTAGTATACCAGTGAGTTTTGTTTTTCTTTAAAGTAAAATCATTGTGCAATCAATAAAGGCAAGAGGGCCAGAAAGGGCATGGGCCTCAATTAACAATACACACACACACACACACATACACACATACACATGTATACATATGTATTTATACATATGCACAGATATATATTACAAATGATCTTAGAAATATAGTTAATACTAAAAGAATTTCTTCCATTTTTCCACGTCAGATAAAAAAATTAGCCACTCCTAGGCACACCTGGTAAGTGGTATGATATATGCTAGTCAATGGTGGGTGCAGCTTTATTTTTTCATTTGGTTTGAATGTTTCACAATTTGTGGTTCAAAGAGAATTGGTGCATCTTCCCCATCCTCTGGTCCATGGAGTGACCAGGAACTAACTGGTGGTTATCAAAATATGATGCTGAGACAACCATCCTTGCAGGCCACCTTCCCAAATAGAAAGAGTGAAAAGCCGCATTCTTGGAGACTTCCCTGGCATTCCCCAGCACTGTCATCTGTACATATGGCAACCAGGAATAGTCTCTGTGAAAACATTAGGGGGTCGGGAAGAAGATGGACAAGTACATTGGAGGATCAGATGAGAAAATGTTGTTCCATCACCACAGATGTGGAATCATACACACACATACACACACACACACACACACACACACACACACACACTCCAGGTCCTGCCAGACCTACATGCACATTATGCATGTGAGCCAGCTGGCCACATAGCTGACAAGCAAGCCAGAAAACTTTGTATGGCTTGAGGGTGAGGCCAGAGACAGCTGAAAGGAGGAGGAATGAAAGGTTTCCTGACATTCTGCTCAACCTTACTCATTCTTTATTCACGAGAAATAATGTGGAGCTGCAGAAGCCCTGGACTCTACCCCTTTGCGGCCTAGTCTCAACACCAGCTAAGCAAGGTGCAAATATCACATACCATCTCTGCCATCCACCCACTCCATCCCACAGCTTGCTGTCTTTCTCCCAGGAACCACTGGGAGAGCAGTTCACTGTTGGCTTCAGGTTTCTGGCTTGGAAAAATAAAGAAAGGTAAAGAAAGAAGGAAGATTGCTGACATAGTTGCATAATATTCCCTCCCTCCCCAGGTTACTAGGGCCACATCTGAAGGAACTCTTGTTAGTCATCAGCTGTCTAAGATCCTTATTGTGCATAGACCTCCACAACGTTGGAGGTCACCGTCAATGGTCACCTAAGAGGGTTCTAACTAAAGCTGAAATAGAAGGACACAAAGAGAACTTCTGCAAAGCCCTTGATAAAGATTATCCCATATGAACCTCATAACAACAGTGGAAGGTTGGGACCTCATTTTCAAGATTAGGAAACTGAGGCCCAGACAAGTGAAAGGACTTGCCGGTTAGTAAGTACCAGAGCCCAAGAGGCTTCCTCATTTGAAGTCAGCACTCTATCTACTAAGCCATAAACCTTCCTCCTCACTTACTAGAAAACAATAAGTGGAGTTTTCAGTCCCCCAAACCAAAGAGCTCAAAGGGAAATTTATTCTGAAGTTGTTCTAATGCTTAACTAGAACCCATTGGCACATGACCTGTAAAATACTGCTTAGCAGAAAAGTTGTCATTGCTTAGCTCTAAGGAACCAGAAAAGTTCTCATTAGATTTGACAGGGGCCCAAGGTAGGATGGTGATGAGAGGAACAAATAGCCTCAGGAGTATTTGTGCCAGTACTTGGAATAAAAGATGAGATAATAATACATCACCTGATATTTAAATATGGCTTTAAGATATCTTAATATATATATATATATATATATATATATATATATATGAAACCTTATATTTTAAAATGGCTCTATCTTATTTAACTCACACAACAAACTTGGGAGGTGGTCAGAACTTGAAGTCCTAACTCTGTCACTACTAGTTATGTGAGTCTGTGCAAGTCATTACTGTATGCCTCCGTTTTCCCATCTAAAAATTGGGGGAAAAATACTTGCACTCTCTACCTTTACAGGATTGTTGTGGGGCAAGTGTTTTGCAGCCCTTAAGGAGTTATGCAGTTGTGGATTGTGATTATTAGTGAAAATATGATTAGCCTTATTTTCCTGACAAAAAGAAAATGAGACAGAGAGGTTAAGGTCACACCTTAGGTCACCAGGGTCACACAGCCAGTAAATGGCAAAGCCAAGGCTTAAACCCAGGTCTTCTCATTCCTAGCCCAGTATCTTTTTACCTCCCTTGTAAAATTTGCATTTTATTTTAGATAGGGAAAAAAAGTGAAATGAAACCATTTCACTATGCCTGGGTAGTCCTTTGGGTTGCTAGGTGGCACTGCGGTAGATAGAGCACTGGCCTGGAGTTAGGATGAATCATCTTCATAAGTCTAAATCCAGCCACAGATACTTATCAGCTGTGTGACCCTGGTCAAGTCACTTAATCCTGTTTGCTTCAGTTTCCTCATCTGTAAAACGAGTTGGAAAAGGAAATGGCAAACTACTCCAGTATCTTTGCTAAGAAGACCCAAATGGTGTCACAAAGGGCCAGACACAACTGAAATGATTGAACAATAACAACAAAGGAGGTCCTTTAAGGCAAGATAATAGGAGGACTTAGGGGCCTCCAGAAAGGAAGTGGGGTGACATTCCACTCATTCCCATCCTTTCTAAGACCTAAGTTAGTTCCAAGGGAGCTGGTGGTGCATTGCTTTGAACATCTTCAGTAAGGACAAACCTTCAGCCTTTGCAGGTGCTTTTTGTTTTTGAAAGAACCAAAAGCCGTGTAGAGTCAAATTTGGAATAAGATGGCTGAGCAAGCCGGGGGATACATCCTCCTCAGTTTTTAAAAAGAGTGATTCTTTTGTGGTTTGTAACCCAGCTGTGAAATTCTGGACATGTCATTAAAAAATTGGTTTCATTATCTTATCTTTGCACATCACACACCTTAACAATAAAAGTTAGTTAAGTTTTGTGTGACACAGAATTGGGCAGGTTAAGAATGTAAAGTTCTAGGGGCAGCTAGGTGGTGCAGTGGATACAGTACCGGCCCTGAAGTCAGGAGGATCTGAGTTCAAATTCAACCTCAGACCAAAAACACTTGATACTGACTAGCTGTATGACCCTGGGCAAGTCACTTAACCCCAACTGCCGGAAAAAAAAAAAAAGAATGTAGGGTTCTAGAACAGGAGGCCAAGAACATGCCCAGGTCAGATTTTCCCATTCAAGTCTCAAATGATCACCTATAAAATAGATAGGGAAGATACTTATTATCCCTATGTAATAGCAACAGTTGGCATTTATGCATTACAGAGGTTCCCAAACTTATTTGGCTTGCTGCCCCCTTTAGAAAAAGAAATTACTCAGTGCCTCCCTGGAAATCCACTTTCTTTAATACTTTAACTTTTTTAAAAATTTGTGTCATTTCAAAAAATATATAATTTTTTAAAATGACATCTTAAATTTAATAATTTATTGTAAATTTGTATTGAAATTTTGTATCATATTGTAAACAAGTCATTGTATGCATATATTCCTGCCAATGCATGCTGGACTTCCTGACAATGCACAACATGCTCGCCTGCCAACACTTGCTTGTTAAGACCTGTTGGCGGACTTGACCACTAATTGGTTCTAACTTGCATTTTGTGTGTTTATTTGGAAAATAATGTAATCACTGTGACTTTAACTCAGTCACACAATATGTACAAATGGTTTTTCAAATTTTTCTTCTTTTCTTTCCTTACGCTTCCACAGTCCCCTCATTTTTATTCAATGCCCCCCAATTGCACCTAAGGCTTCTACGCCCCCCCCCCAGGGGGCAGTACCACCCACTTTGAGGTTCGTAAAACTTATATTCTCTCATTTCCTCCTCACAACCATCCTGGGAAGTAGCTCTATCCTTATCCCCATTTTACAGATAAGGAAGCTGAGGCTGAAAGAGGGAAGTGGCAGGGCTAGTGTCTGAGTAGGATTCAAACTCAGACTTATATTCTCTAGCTGAAGAAGTGTAAGGAATAGGCATTAAGATCACGCAATTGGTTAATAAGAAAATGGAGACTAGAAAGCAGCTCAGTATTGTGGAAAGAATGCCAGAGGGCCTCGGGTTCAATCCCAGCTCTGTCACTTCATAGCTATGTGGCCTTGGGCAAGTCATTGCACATTTCAGTGAATAAGTCTTGGGGACTCTAAGGATCCATCCAGATCTAAATCTATGCTCATGTGATTCTACAGTCTCTCTGGGCCTGCATTCCCTAACTGCTAAAGTAAATCATTTATTAAGTAAACATTCATTGACACTTTGCTAAGAGCTGGGGATGCAAAAAGAAGCAAAAACAAGTCCCTACCCTCAAGGAGTTTGCAATCTAATGGGAGAGACAGCATGCAAACAAATATATACAAGCAAGCTAGATACAGAGAGGGAAGGCGCTACAATTAAGAGAGGTTGGGAAAGGCTTCCTGTAGAAGATGGGACTTAAAGGAAGCCAGGGAAACTAATAGGCAGAGTGGAGGAGGGAGAGCATTCCAGGCATGGGGGACAGCCAGAGAGAATGCTGGGAGCTGAGCGATGAAGGGTCTTGTTCACGGAACAGCCAGGAGGCCAGCGTCACTGGATCAAAGAGTATGTGGAGGGGAGTAGGGGGTGAGAGGACCGGAAAGGTAGGAGAGGTGAGGTTATGAAGGGCTTTGAACCCAAACAAGATTTTGTATTTGTTCCTGGAGGCAATAGGGAGCCACTGCAATTTATTGAGTAGGTTGGGGGAGGGGGATGACATAGTCAGACCTTTATTGTCACTTTATTGTCTAAATGGAGAACGGATTGGAATGGGGAGAGATTTGAGGCAGGCAGACCCACCAGCAGTCTATTGCAATAATATTGGCGTGAGGTGATGAGGGCCTGCACTAGAGCAGTGGCAGTGCCAGAGGAAAGAGTGGGGGCGTATCTGAGAGCTGCTGCAAAGGTAAAATTGACAGGCCTTGGCAACAGATTGGATATGTGTGTGTGTGTGTGTGTGTGTGTGTGTGTGTGTGTGTGTGTGTGAGAAAGACAGTGAGGAGTTCAGGATGAATCCTATATGGATGGTGTTACTCTCTACAGTAACAGGGAGGGTGGAAAGGGAAAGCTTTTCCTTGGTGCCCCAAATCTAGTTTCTGGGAGTTGATATGATGAGGTATTCATCTCCTCGACTCAGGATTTTCTAGTTCAGGAGCCTTTACCAAATTAAGACCTGACTGAGCCCAGAGATAATCAGCAGCAGAGAACTGGCCAAACAGAAAACACTATGTAGAGAAGAACAGACTTAATTTCTTGTTAGTTCTTCGTGTGTCTAGGGCTATATAAATAGAAATACATATGGGGCATAATCTTAGTCTCAATTTAAAAGAAAATGTATTGGGTAGTCCAAGCAAGAAAGACATATGCTTTCATTTGTGTCAATTTTCTTCGATTTTCTAAGAAACCAGAAGGACTCATTTAATACTAATGTTCTACCTTCCCCCTCCTGATAGTGGGGTTGCCCAGGAAACATTGATCTATATCTATAAATATAGACAGATTTAGCTATAGATAGATATCCATATCTCTAGGATCTCTATGCCATACATTATTGCTGAAGTCAAAGCCAACTATTAATAATAGCCATGGAAGCAAGGAAGAATAATGACCAAATTCATGAATTACACTTTGACTAACATGTCTGTTATCAAGGCAAGTCATGTTTGTGATAAATTAAATGATCTGCTTTATTCATTCTGTCTTGCTTTTTTTTCTATTTGTATCCCCAATGCTTAGCACAGTGTTTTACACATAGTAATTGATTAATAAATGCTTTATTAATTCAAGGCCATTGGTGACCACGAATCACCATGAATCAATGAAAATATTTTTCAGTTTTTACAAATACATAGGAATTGAACAGATCTAGAATTTCACATCAGAGTCCAAGGAAAAGTATAACCCCTATGAGGAGTCATAGGGCCTTGGCACACTTTTGGTACTTATTAAGTGTTTACTGCATTGAAAGTGTATCATAATTTTAGGAGAACTTCTCCACGTATATATTA